AGAATGAGTCACCCAGCTGTCAGGGTTGAAGACAGAGCCTGTTAGTTTGAAGAAAGACTGCATTTGTTTTAGTCAACAATGAAGAGAAATGTGTTCAAATGCAGAATTAATGTACAGTGGGGAGGTTTTTTCTTCCATATTGACATTTGAATGTTTTGATGAATCCAGGATGGTACAAAAATATGCCGGGTTTTTCAAATATGACGTATGTGTGTGTCTTTTTGGCAAACCTTCCTCTGTTCTTGTCAGTTCTGTTTTCAATTGTGAGTCTTTTCTATGGATCTCAGTGTGTGTTGTGGTTAGCTGTATGAAAACCGACATGTTTTTATCCAAAAGGCTGTGATTCTTTCTCTGTAACAGAAAGTGATTGAAGGGTAATTTTGAAACTACTTTGGAGTTTTCTGCACAGGAGCCCATTTGTCCACATCAGTTTCAAAGCCCTGTGTGCTAGTCCGTGCATCAATGAGACGCTAGATGTGTGTTTGTGTAAAAGGCAGTGGTATGTACGTGCTCATTCCCTATCGCTGTAAGCACACAGTCCTACACTCGGACACACTCAAGTGCACACACCCCGCTGGGCTAGCAGCATGTGGAGATGAGCTGCGGTCTGCCCTGACCTATGAGAGTGCAGCTTGTGGGCACGCTCAGTGAGCAGCAAGAGATAACACGCATCCAACACCTCTGGAGGGTGAGAGAGGGGATTGATATGTGTGTGTGTGTGTGTGTGTGTGTGTGTGTGTGTGTGTGTGTGTGTGTGTGTGTGTGTGTGTGTGTGTGTGTGTGTGTGTGTGTGTGTGTGTGTGTGTGTGTGTGTGTGTGTGTGTGGTGTGTGTGTGTGTGTGTGTGTGTGTGTGTGTGTGTGTGTGTGTGTGTGTGTGTGTGTGTGTGTGTGTGTGTGTGTGTGTGTGTGTGTGTGTGTGTGTGTGTGTGTGTGTGTGTGTGTGTGTGTGTGTGTGTGTGTCAGATTAGATATTTCTTGATGTCAAGTACAAGCATTCCTGTGCATCACAATAGAAAACCCCTGAGTTAGCAGCTGCATTAGCATGCTAACGTGTCATTTCTTGTTTTCATTGTTGCATGGGACAATATTTTTACATTTCTTTCATCTTAGTCTCAAAATAAACTACAAGGATGACTGATCAGGCAAAGTAGAGTGAGGAGGCTGGCCATAGCATTTAGAGAGTCACAATGGGCTGTAAAGGAATGAGGGAGATTTAGAGGGATGAAGCGAAAACGTGACAGTGCATATTCAATTATAAAAAGGCTGTGTCAGCAAAGTGTGACCAAGAATGAAAAGAGTGTGTAAGAAGGAGAAGAGAAAAGAACCACTTTATCAGTATAAGGCTCAACTGAGCATAGAAATTGAGACACGAGATAGAGTTTGCAAGTCAGGCATAGAAAGAAATAAAGCCGACAGAGAGAGTGAGAAGGACTAAACTCAAATAAAGATTGGGAGGAACATCTTGTTGCAGGGGCTCATAGATATACATATCAAAAGCAGTAACTCAAAGTTAGTGAATACACATAACCAAGAACTTTATGACATCATTCTTGATACAACTATCAGTGCAACTCTTAGGACCTAATGCTGAAAATAAGGGTTATTTAAGTATTCATTTTAGAAAATTGGTTTACTGGCTTATTTGGAGCGAATATATCTGCTTTTCTGACTTTGTATCTTCATGATTTATTGCACTTTTTGAAAGTTACTTGGGATAAAAGTGTCAGCTTTGAAATGTAATGTAATATAATCTCTTTCCCAAACGTTAGTCTATGGGGAAATGTGTTTTTGGGGCCAATGGTATTATGTGACAGACCAGGAAGTTGTAATCCTGTGGTAAAGCCACTTTGTCAAATTGGATAATAATCTCAGCACTGTGTACGTTGTTCCCAATACACAGTGACCTCCTGGTGAGCAGTACATAAATGAAGCACTTTTAGTATTTTAAAAAACAGTGCTAGCAACAACCATAACCCGGGCTGAAGAACTGTGTTTCATAAAAATGTAATTGACGGAAAAAAATAAGTAGTGTGTGTTGACAAATAGTTAAAGTGTTGTGTTTTACACAAACACAATTAGGCTAGGTTTCTTCTACAGGAACAAGTCCTGTTTCTCGCTCGAGGCCAGAAAAAGGCTAGTCACTGTGACCTTTTTACCTGTGCTGGACTATGGTGATTTGATTTATATGAATGCACCTGCCAATTGCCTGGTCAAGTTAGATGCTGCGTATCACAGTGCACTGAGATTTGTGACAAACTGTAAAGCATTAACCCATCACTGTACCCTGTATGCAAGGGCAGGTTTGCCTTCACTAACTGTACGGAGGCTCAGTCACTGGTACATTTTTATATATAAAGCCATGTTAGGGAAACTTCCATCCTACATCTGCTCCCTGATCTCACGGCGAATTGTAAGTGGCTACTGCATGAGATCGCATGCTATGGTTTTATTAAATGTGCCAACTGCTAGGACTGTCTTAGGGAAGATAGCATTTAGATGCGCAGCTCCACTGTCCTGGAATAGTCTGCAATTAAAATGGAAACTGAGCAATCTGGTGCCACTCAATGTTTTTAAAGCTCGGTTGGATGCTACTCAATCGGAAGCTGTTGGTACCTGTGCATGTGGATAGTTATGTAAATTGTAATCCCTGTAATGCTACTGTATGATGTCCTTCTGTTGTTCTGTTTATGTTTTTAATGTTTCATGTGGAACCTACTTGAGCAGGTCTCCCTTGAAAAAGAGGTCAATGATCTCAATGGGATACAACCTGGATAAATAAAGGTTTGAAATGAAATGAAAGTGTGCTGCTTTGACACCTTAGAAGTCACCAGAATATTTTGAATATACCCACCCACGAACAGAAATTAAAACCCATACACACAGGAAGAGAAATTTAACAAAAAGTCCAAAGAAAGAGTCCAAGGCTGTGACAAAAGAGCACTTATAAATATAAGAGGGAAGGAAGAGGGAGAGTTTGAAATGGCTCTATTCAGCCGTTACAGAGTGTGTGGGAGGAAGGAGAACTACTGTAAGGAAAGGTGTGTGTGTGTGTGTGTGTGTGTGTGTGTGTGTGTGTGTGTGTGTGTGTGTGTGTGTGTGTGTGTGTGTGTGTGTGTGTGTGTGTGTGTGTGTGTGTGTGTGTGTGTGTGTGTGTGTGTGTGTGTGTGTGTGCGTGTGCGTGGGCTATTGCTCTCTGTACTCGCCTTCATTTATAGTTGATGATTTGATTTGTTCCAAGTGCTCTCGCTGTAAAGGAAGCATGTTTTTTTAATTAAATTAAACAAGGTGCGTGACCCCAAAGGAAAACATTGACCCTGGTAAAGTACATTAATCTTCATTGAATCCCTCTCTAATTTATAGTAATCGCAAAACACACAGCCTGGATGTGGTCCGTGACTTTTGTTTAATGACTTAAATATGTTACTTACAGAAGGTCAGAGACATCAACTGTCGTCAAGTTGTGCGATCGCCGCTTTTAGAGTACGTGGTTAAAATTCGAAGGACAGTTTTCAAGTTTGGTTTTGTGAAGATGATTTACTGTTTTATTATCTGTTATGACAGTTTTACTAAGGCTGATGTTTTCATGCATTCAGTCCCAAATGAAATATTTCCAAAGAAGGTAATGTATCCATCACTGAAATTGAAGGGTTCATGAAAGAGAGTGTCTCAGGATTTTGTTGTCGTTCCCAAAACGTCGCATTCAAATAGTCAAAACTACAGTAAATACCCTGTAGGACATGTATTCGATCATTGAGGTGTCTTCAAATGTTTACTTAAAAAACGAATTAACGAAAGAAAGCCAGCTAGAAGAAAGCTGTACGATTTTATAAGAACCAATCAAAAACTCTTGTAATTAGATGTTAAAAATCAAACATTTCTGAACACTTGGATGGACCACTTTGCCTGAAATATGTCAATACAAAAGGTACAATACAATCATATAAACAAGAAGATGTGCAGAGGTTTTTGGTTGCGTTGTTTGGAGCATTTAAAAGCATCACCATTGCCTAAGAAAGGGCAATCAGTATGCAGTGAGTGAATGATCAGGGTGAAATCAATAAGATCACGTTTTTTTTCACTGGGTTTTACCTAGTCAGCAGGTTTGGTTTATTCATTTATAAATGGAGCAGGCAGGAGTGTACAGACTGCTAATGGTGTGTGTGTGTGTGTGTGTGTGTGTGTGTGTGTGTGTGTGTGTGTGTGTGTGTGTGTGTGTGTGTGTGTGTGTGTGTGTGTGTGTGTGTGTGTGTGTGTGTGTGTGTGTGTGTGTGGGTGTGTGGGTGTGTGGACTGTGATCAGAATTTGACACAGTATCCTTTAATACTTTGCACTCTAAGTGTCTCGGGTTAGTTTTGAACGGACCTTATATCCTAATGATATCCTTTTCAAAGCAGGGCTCATGTGAGTCTGTCAAACAAAGAAATTGATTTGTCCAACATCAACTTTGAGAAAGTCTCGTTTCTATTGTCATTGCATTAATTAGAGGTTGTGCTGTATGCCTATTATAGCAAATAATGTGGTTGTCAAGATTCTAGTAACACTCAAACCACATTTGATATAGTCATGATGTCTCTAACTGATCTAAGGCTCCAGGTATTTGATTAGATATTTCGATAAATTAATGTTTACTGGGATCAATATTTCTTCTTCTACATGCAGTACTCAGTCAAATAGATTGAGAACGAGGAAATGAAAGGTTCCCGCAAATAGCTTAATCCTAACCAGAACTCAATGATCTAATTTGATGCCTGTAAACCACCAGAAATGTTTAATCCTTTGCAGGTAAATTAAGGTAATCTCTGCCACCTTCCTCTCTCCTACTTATATTCTATTTGCTTGCATTTACTTGCACTATTTTATCTGTTTTATTGTGTTGCACTGTTGGAGGAGCCTCTGACCTCAGATTTTCACTGTAGCTGTGCACGAATGACAATAAAAGCCATGAATCCTTGACATCTTCCTCTCTAACATTCTCTTTCTCTCCCATCCTTCTCCCCAGGTGAGGATGATGACGATGACGAGTGCGGGGAGGAGAAGCTGCCGTCATGTTTCGACTACGTGATGCACTTCCTCACCGTGTTCTGGAAGGTTCTGTTCGCCTTTGTCCCGCCCACAGACTACTGGAACGGCTGGGCTTGCTTCGTGGTCTCCATCTGTATGATCGGCCTGCTGACCGCCGTCATTGGTACGATCACAGCTGACAAGACACATTATAGATCATAACATACTGTGACCAGCTGTGATCGTACCGGTGACGGCGGTTAGCAGGCCGATACCTTACAAATACCGTGAGCCAATCAAAAGAAGTACCACGATTTTTTAAAGATTTTTCAGTAACTTAAAGTCCATAACATATTTAATGACTGGTTACTAATATTATTTCATGTTCATCATACATATTGACTGGTAAGTGTATGCAATTTTAGTAGTGTCAGTAGAGTGTAAAAAAATGTATGAGATTAGATATTCTTCATTTATCCCAATTTGGGATTTCTTTTTACTGAAGCATGTTAACAGGTATTATTGCAGATGAGATAAAAATATAATCACATAAAAGAAATATAGAATAAAAGTAAAAAAATGAATATAAACAATGAATATACAGTTTACTTATCATCAGTAGAAAATATATACTGTATAAATATCAATAAGGTATCTAAATATTACACAATTTGAAATGTACAGATTAAGTTAGAATGCAAAATATATCAATCAATCAATCAATGTTTATTTATATAGCCCAATATCACAAATGTTACATTTGTCTCAGTGGGCTTCACAGTTTGTACAGAATATCAGTATGACAATACGACACCCTCTGTCCTTAGACCCTCACATCGTACAAGGAAAAACTTCCAGAGAAAACCCACAGTTTAAAGGGGAACATGGGAGAAACCTCAGGGAGAGCAACAGAGGAGGGATCCCTCTCCCAGGACGGACAGACGTGCAATAGATGCCGTGTGTAAATTGAAAAGATAATACATTTACAACATAGGTAGTCCAAATGTTTGGACATGCATGTGTCTATAATAAGAAGATTAATCCATGAGGATATCAACAATCCTGTGGGAGCCATCAGGGAAGTAGAAGTAGAGATAGGTTCAGCCACGACTCCAAATCCAGGACTCAGGATCCAGGACTCAGGATCCAGGACTCAGGATCCAGGACTCAGGATCCAGGACTCAGGATGCAGGACTCAGGATCCAGGACTCAGGATCCGGGACTCAGGATCCAGGACTCAGGATGCAGGACTCAGGATGCAGGACTCAGGATCCAGGACTCAGGACCACAGCAACAGGCACAGCCACGACTCCGGATCCCGGCGTAGATAGACACCAAAAATAAATTTGGGGGAAGCTGGGTTATTCGGAACATGAGAGTACACAGGTACAGACAGAGAGTAAGGTGTCCCCCGACAATCTAAGCAAAACTAGGGGCTGAATCAAATCAGCCCTAACTATAAGCTTTATCAAAAAGGAAGGTCTTAAGCGCACTCTTAAAAACGAATAGGGTGTCTATATAAACCCAGAATAATATGAACATTATAAAAGTGTCCATAAAAGTAGTTGTAATTAAAATGTCAAAGCAGTAAGGTAGTGTGAGTACAATATGTGTACATTTTTCAAGGTTATTGAAAGGAAAAAAATCTCTATAAGTTTAATGTGTTTTTTTTATGATTACAGGAGACCTGGCCTCTCACTTTGGCTGCACAGTCGGCCTCAAGGACTCCGTCACAGCAGTAGTGTTTGTGGCACTGGGCACCTCTGTACCAGGTGGTGTGTGTGTGTGTGTGTGTGTGTGTGTGTGTGGTGTGTGTGTGTGTGTGTGTGTGTGTGTGTGTGTGTGTGTGTGTGTGTGTGTGTGTGTGTGTGTGTGTGTGTGTGTGTGTGTGTGTGTGTGTGTGTGTGTGTGTGTGTGTGTGTTGTGTGTGTGTGTGTGTGTGTGTGTGTGTGTGTGTGTGTGTGTGTGTGTGTGTGTGTGTGTGTGTGTGTGTGTGTGTGTGTGTGTGTGTGTGTGTGTGTGTGTGTGTGTGATCACATTCACTGAATGTTTAAACACATGTGCTGTACTTTATGTTCACGCTACTACACAGTTCACCGCTGTATTAATGTTCTTAAATATCCTACTATTTACTCTCCGACAGTTTTAATCAAAAACCTTTCTCTCTCTCCACATTTGGCATCTAGCCCTGAGAGGTCTCTAAGCGTAAATACCCCGAGGTCTCGTTAAGGATAGATTTGTGTTCATCAGTGACCTGATCTCCAGAATATTTTGCCACTTTTTTATTTACATTTTTGATTATATTTTAGCGGGCTTTAGTCTTTTATAAGCAGTTGATTTTGATGAAGATCCTCTACATGGTAGCAATCAACTGCATAAGAACAAGATGAGAGCAAGAGACTAATTCGTTTTTTTTAATTGATTAAATATATTAGTAGAAGAACAATACTTTATCTGAAATAAGAGTTTAGTTTTTCTTTTGACTATTTTTTAAAACATTCAAAGAAAAAAGATGCTGTCATGCTGAAGCATGCGTATGGTTCCCAGTCTCTCCAGTCTTTATCTGTAGAAGCCTGCGAGGAAACAGACAGCTGCATGAATCACCCTCTAAATGTGAGGAATCACTGGCGACTGCAAATGCCGGCTTATTATGCTTTAACCTTGGCCCTGGTCCTCTGCTTCTGTACACACACACACACACACACACACACACACACACACACACACACACACACACACACACACACACACACACACACAGACACACACAGACACACACACAAAGATGTAGCACGTGATTGAATGCTAGATGTATAACATGCAGACACATTAACGAGTGCAAAACTGTAATTACATTGACAAACAGACTCACACTTGTATACTTGCAACATATTTAATCTTGAAATGTGTTTCACACACTTGCGCACACACACACACACACACACATACACCTGTACTGTGTCCACCATGTGTTATTAGCATAGCGCTATTTGTCATGTCAGGCTCAGGTGGTCTCTGTCCTCCCATTTTGGGAGCAAAGGGAAAAAAGTGATGTATTGCATACCATTTCACACACACACACACACACAAATGCAAACATATATGCACACAGAGGAAATATAATGTCTGAAAGCACACAAACGGAAACATTTATGGGCAAAAGCAATCACACGCAGCCGCTTGAAACACATAAATGCAAACACACACTCACATGGACATACATTATGTCAAATTGCAGACTGGAAACATTGTGGTTTAGCCTTTCAGAGGTCTTTAATAGAGCCCCCCATCCCGTGGCGCACACACACAAATGCACACAATCGCACACACACAAATGCACATAATCCCACACACTGACAGAGAAACAGACCTCAAGTTCGTTGGTTATTACAGTTAATAAAACCCATCCTGTGCTGTGGTTCCATGATGATTAACCTCGTTTATCACTGTTAGACAGGCCAACTCACACACACACACACACACACACCCACACACACACACACACACACACACACACACACACACACACACACACACACACACACACACACACACACACACACACACAGAAAGGGATGAGGAGAAATTGAAAGGAGCAAAGCTTGTAAAGAGAATTCTAAACTCAGGAATCCAAATCATTTGTTGTTGGTTTGGGATTTAGGCAAAACCTCAGAGACTCATCTGTGAACACCTCCAGAGGGTTTTTAAAGTATTCTGTGAATCATTTCAATTTGGCCTCAGAAATTCAATAGATACATTTAAACTGCAATCGCAGTAAATGGGATTTGCACAGAGAAGGAAGAGGTATTGTGCAGTAGACGTTAGGTTGGAGAATGAAAGCATCTATACAAAATATTTGTTACTATAAATTGTATTTGCAGGATATTTCAGGTGAAATATTAAACCTTTCATATGTAGACTGGCATTGACTAAGGCAGAAACAAAAGCAAACTGCAGGGGTGTAAGTAACTTTAGATGAAAGCATTTTTCAAATGTTGCCCCTAACCTCAAGGGCATTAAAGTCATTAAGTACATTAAATAAAAGAAGACAACAATTGAACTTGTCTGTGTTTTCAGACACAGAGAATTGAAGACAATTGTACGATTACCAGGAGGATAATTGATATTTATTCAATGTTACATTTCAGACTTTTTATCCGACTTGTTTTTGGAAGTTGAAAGGAACAGGGGAGAAGGATAAAAAGGGAGAATTCAGATGGACTAAGCCAATGACTATACACACAACAATCACAGTACCTAGATTAAATGAGGGAAATGTGCTGATAATTATTTATTTGTTGATTAGTTTGTTAACTATAATATAATAGGGGAGGCGTGTTGTGCAGTGGGTTGTGCGTTGGTGTTCGGATCAGGGTGTCACAGGTTCACTGCAGTCAGCATGTCGTTGTGTCCCTAGGCAAGACACTTCACCCCATGGCTTTCATTTATATCGTTTCATCAGATTGCCAGATTTCCATGAGCACATTGAAGAGTCCTTCCATTTCAAGAGACAAGAGGGAAAAGGCATCTGAAGAAAGAGGAATGAAAGGTGGAGGGAGAGGATCTTAGAGAGGGTGGAGAGGTAGAAAGAGAAGAGAGGCGCACTGGTTGATTGACAGTAAGAGAGAGGAAAAGGGCAGACAGCTCTGCAGGGAGGCATACTCTCACAGACGGAGCTGCACAGAGAAACCTCTTTCACACACAAACACACACACATGCTGCTACTGAACATGCAAGCACCCACTCACTCACTCACCCACTCACTCATGCACACAAGCACCCAAACACTACTTGATGCACAAAGACACACACAGGCCAGCTGGTGGAGGCATGACATCAGATTGGACCGGTGGTAAAGTTCAACTAAACACACAGACAGTGTACATGCATGCACTGGGCACAGGAACACAGGGAGGCACCACACACACTTAAGCACAGAAGACTTGTCCTTGAAGCTTTAAGGTGTATCAGGAGACTCATTTTGCTAGGCTCTTTCTTTGGCCCATTGCCTCTTCCCTCCTCCTTCCTCTTCTGCTCCTCCCATCATCTTATTTTCCGCCAGTTTTTCTGCCACTTCAACAAATCCCTTCCCGGGTTTCTCTCCATATTTATCTCCTTTCACTGTATCTGGCAGAAAAAGGGGGACAAGAAAGACTAATCAAGAGAAGATGGCAAGGAAATGAGCGCCAGATAAGAGCGCTAACTGACCATTTGGCCATTTGAGCTCTCAGCACAAGCCTATTGTTATGATTTGGCAACTAATAGAGTCCCTTTTGGAGCTGTTGGGATTTGGCAAACACTTTGGGACTTGAGTATGATTTGTTTGGCCCTGAAAACTGAGACTCAGCATTGTGCATTATTGATCTCATACCAAATGTGTTATGTTCTGGCAGCGACAGAACACTACAACAGGATTAAAAATTGTGGTTTCTAATTTAAGGTTTTCTGCCTTAATGTGGAAACTGGATTTGCACAGTATTCTGTATTTTTAATCGTGCGTTTGCATTTATCAAGAGCCTCCTTCTCTGAATTCTTGTGTAACTCAAATTACTGCATGTTGAGGTCAGGAGTTCTAATGTAAAGTCAAAATGTAAATCTGTTTGTACTTCAGAAAATTCAGTAGGCAGTATTTAATTTACACTGATTAGTGTTGGGGAAATATTTTCCAAGGCCCATAGCTTTGACCCAGTTGATCAGTTCATACTGTCCTGACTGAGCGCACACACCTGCAACCTTGGCTGCTGTGCTCTCAGTGTTTTAGTCTCCCTGTTCCTGCCTGTTGGCGTCAGCTGATAGAGGTGTTATGATTCTATCTTGTTATGCACAATGTGGATTATTCTCTCTGAACTAGCTAAATACACGGGTCTGGGGTCGAGTTCTTCAGACTTGACGTGGCAACTCTACCGTGAAGTTGTTTTGTGAATTCTCCGGCCGAGGCTCCTAAATAAACCATCAGTGTTTGACATCAAAGCTCCAGCTCTCCCCGTGTCTCCTTCATGAGTCGGTGACTCCTCCTGCATTGCTAAATAGAAGTTTCCCCCACAATTAGCATATTTTTGTTTATCAAGGGCAATGCACTGTGAGTCTGCGAAGGCTTCATTTAAAAAGCCCATGCTTCATTTTTCAAGACTTCCGTGGTTAAATGATAGGACAGTCATAAAACTGTAGTACATATTGGTATTGGTCTGATGGTAGTTAAATGGGAAAGTCCAAGTCCAGAATTGTGTTTATTTTTGTCTAGTCTACAAGTCAGTGAAGAGGACATGTGGCCAAATGGTGACACTAGGTAAAAGGTCATAGTAACACTAAAGTTAATATATCTAATTCCCGTCGGAGGCAACTGGTAAAAAGTTGCCAAATCCACTGAAACAATCCCTGCTTTCTCTCTCTCAGATATTCCTGTTTGCAGATGAACTACCCTTATCTTACCAGAGACAAACAGCAACAATGCTTGGGTTGGCTTGTGAGGTTCCCTTTTCACGAGAATCCATAGAATGTCCAAACTGTTAACTGTCTGTCTCCTTTCCTTTCACAGATACCTTTGCCAGTAAGGTGGCTGCTACCCAGGATCAGTATGCAGATGCATCCATTGGAAATGTGACAGGCTCTAATGCTGTCAATGTTTTCCTCGGCATCGGGGTGAGTCCCACTCATTAAAAGATGGAAGGATTGATGGATGGATGGATGGAGTGATAGATAGATAGAGTGGTAGATATATTGAGAGATTAAGTGACTTTACCGATTGTGTGATTCATAGCTGGTATAAATCCAGTTGTTGTTCCTTATGATTTATATGTTGGTTTTTGAGTGCTTACCTTTAATGCCTCCACCGTTATAAAGAGCCATGTCACTCAGTTTGATTGTGATGCTTGACAGGTGGCGTGGTCCATCGCAGCCATTTACCATAACAGCAGAGGGGAGGAGTTCAGGGTGGATCCGGGCCAGCTGGCCTTTTCCGTCACGCTCTTCACTATCTTTGCCTTTATCGCCGTCGGCACGCTAATGTACCGACGGCGGCCAGATATCGGTGGAGAGCTCGGAGGGCCCCGGACGGCGAAGGTCCTGACCACCATGCTGTTCTTCAGCCTGTGGCTCCTCTACATCCTCTTCTCCTCACTGGAGGCCTACTGCCACATCAAGGGCTTCTAAGATGACAAGAGATGACGAAAGGGAAGGGTGGGACAGGAGGAGAACACGGAAGAAGTGGAGGAGGATGAACGTATGGATTTGGAAATGATGGCTGTCTCATTGATCTATCACTCCCTCCCTTTACGCAAGACTGAATGCCAGATGAATGGATGGATGTACAGATGAAGAAATGAAAGAGGCATTAAAGTATCTATAAACATACCTGAAGGAAATACGGATGCATGGAAGGGCAACGACAAACAGGAAAATCAAAGGAGCGAGAGAGATAGCTCAGAAAATAGAAGAATCGCAGAATACACTTAAGAAGAAGTTTTTTTGTCTTGATCTATAATCCAAACCAATCAAGTTGTCTTAAACCCAAACCCATTTCAAATACATAAAACCAAACCCAAAACACCTACAATGTGTCACTGCTGGATTGACCATACAGAAGCGAAGAAAATGAGGTTCAACAAAACAAGGAGGGTTAAAGAAGACCAATCTCACAGCTCCTCGGATATGTGGCTTTAACAACAGAAATCCCATTAATCCCCTCCAGTCGGAGCGATGCTATTCCCCCGTCCAATTAGAGTAACAGGCTTGAGTGTGACCGGAAAGGACAGACTAACTTTATCAGTATGAACATGCATGGACAGACAATACTGGAAACACAATCAGAAGAAACCGGATGTATTGCCACAACTGTTTAATGACAACAAACTGTGCGTGCTGGTGTGTGACTGTGTTTCTGTGCTTGTGTGCTGTGGGAAGATGGTCAAGTACTGTGAAAAAAAACGCCTCTCTTTTTGCTGTCGCTGCGTGAGACTGAATATGCTTTCGTATTCAAGGTCTTTTTGACTCCCACTCTCCCAGCCTGTAGAATTGCTGACTCTTTTTGCGGGAGGCCGCGTTTAAGATATGAAATGTTTTGAACACCGCTGAGAGCTGAGCGTACATTGCAGCTCCACAATTTTCCTTCTGAATGTCTTGGTTACGCCATGCGCTCTCGAACAGGCCATCTTTCTGTTGCTTTATACAGTAGGTGTAAATGATTTAAGGTCTAATATGAATCAAGAAAGGGTTAGTGTGCTTTTACCTTTAAAAGGCCGTGTCTGAGAAGACAAAATGGCCGCTTTACCGTTTAAAACTGTTAGAGAAACTATAATCATTGCATAAATATCTCGGTAAATCTTGTGTGTTTTCGTTGGGGTTTTCTTAAACTGTGGAATTCTTTTACATGATTTTCCACCTATGAGATTCCCGCCATCATGTGTCAATTGTAACATTGCAAAAGACTTTCAAAAGTAGGTACTGCCCTCTGTGATACTCATAGTTTGCTTAACTGCCTCCGCCATTGTTTTTCTAACTTTGATGCCGCTTTCCCATTGGTTCACTCAAACGCTTGTGTCGTTATCCCTGTGTGTCTTAAGCACCTCCCCCTGGCTGGTCAGTGGACCAATCAAAATCCTCAAGGGCTTTGTAAGAAACAACCACTAATCTGTTACCCTGACCCTTGATGTATTATTCTTCACCTAGATTGGTCTTTTGGGGGCAATTTAACAGGGATTTGTATTCCATAGCATTATACACCACCTGCTCAGATGTTAGGACCTATCTTCAGCGTATCTTAAAAAAAAGACTGCATGAAAAATTAATTGAGAATAAAAGGTTGTCCGACCAAGTTAGCTACATTTTGGCAAAAGCGACCCAATGATCCAAAGTTCTCTGTCGGACAAGACTTGTCCCAGTTCATTACAAAGACTTCCTATATATTGTACCTTATTCCAAATTAACTCACATCTTCTTTTCCAGGCTGCCTCCACACTAACTCTTAAAGATAATACTATACTTCAGGTATGTGGATCATGCAGGCCTAAATCCAAAGGAATTAATAAACATCTGAGTTTATATTTTGTCTCTTTTTTCAAAGCAATGCGTTTGCTCTTGACTGAAGAAACATAATGTAATTCAATGATTCATGCCGGCTTGGAAACCAACTCTTAAGCCGTCAGATAAAGGAATAGATAAAAACCTATTAGCTATTGTTGAAGAAGTAGGCTTACTCACAGATACAAATAAATACTTTTGCTTAGGGTACATCTAATCTCCGACACCTAGATTCTGTTGAACCAGCTCACAGACTTTTGAAGACAACTCTTTAGCAAATAAAATAGGATAATGATATTATAAATATGCCAAGCTTATTTGAAATCCCTATTCAAGTGGGCTCGCTAGTTAAGATGTAACAATTAAACTGCAGATATCAACAGACTTACAAACTGGGAATCTTTAATCGGTTATGGAAAGACAATTAAAATATGTCCAGAAGTGTGTGTAGAAAATAATACTTCTAGGCTGTCAACTGGCAGAGAGGTTTACACTTTAGACTGTTAACAATTTTACCCTAAAACCACAGAGATCTAAACGTTCACAAAACGTACTGTTTACCTAAGGCACTCAAAAAGTCCATAGTTTGTTGAATGGCACTATATGCATCTAAATTGGCCAGAATTTTCCTGCTGATGTTGTGTTTTTTACTTGATGTATAATATAATAGTTAGTATTTTAATTGTCATCTGTAACGTAGGTAGTCTGGGCTAAATGTTATCCTTTAAATCTTGGCAAAAAATCTTGTCGCGGACAACTTAATCGCCTGTGAGAAAGAAGAGCCCTGGATTGGATGAGTTTGGCAAAGCCACACTATCTTGAGTAGATTTTATATAAAGATGGTCTTGGTTTTGTAACCTGATCACCAAATGATGCGTGGAGAATCATCCCAGAACGGAAATCTGGCCAAACTCTAAAAAAAGACTCTGTAGTATGCAGACTTTTGTTATTTGCAGCACCATTGTTGCACATTTTCAAAACAACTTAAACATTAAAAAACATTCTATAAACTCTGATAATAAATAAAACATTTGACAGCCACTTGTATTTGCCAAACTCTTGACAATGCACGGCTCTCCGTTAGAGTAGCTGTTCTCTCGTGAAGGCCTTGGAGTGGCAGTTTACCCCTGTTTTGCCAAAGGGAAATCTTTCTATTAGAAACTTACTATTTGCAGTCCGACCTGTAAAGGGTTTTCTAACCAATGGATCTTTCTTAAAACACCAAATATTATTCATATGTCATTAACAATTTGAAAGGAGACATGTCGTTTTAACCTTACCAGAATCTTTCTATTTAAATGTGTATGCATTTGTCTCTTCACTGGCATGGAGCTTAAGGTTTATACACTGTAAAAAGTTATGCTAGCTTGTGCAAAAAAAAAAAAAGAAATAACATTGTCGAAGCTTTTTGCATCGCTTTTTGAGTAAACTCAACAGGGTTTAAATTATCGTAGATATTGCTAAATCATTTTGGATTTACTTAAAACGTGCCAGCTGCTTCATTTGTCAGAGTGAACTTGTGTAGGAATGAAAAGCTTGCAGTAATGTAGTTGTTTGCATCAAATTAGTTTGCTGCACAAATTTGACAGAAGCTAACATTTTTTTAATTGATGGGAATATAGTTATTTTGCTACACCGGCTTTGTTGCAATGCCTCTTTCAGTGTGTCTACCTTGACTTATAAAGCTAGTCTGACTTGAAGCTAATGGCAGATTAACGACAGCTTTTCAAAGCCTCACCGTTTGGACCAAGCCTGGAAGCTAAACTCAACAAACAAAATGTTAGCTGTGACTAGCAGGTTCGAGCTGCTAAGCTAACCTGGATAAGAATCAAAATAGCGCTTTAGCTTAGCTTCCTTACTTGGTTTGGACATTGGAGGTTTGAAGGGTCAAAGGTTAGCCAGGCCACCGCTGTAAATATAACACTAAGAGCAAGCAAGGAGTAGAAAGATAAACTGTAGACTTTTTTTGAAGAAGCTAGCAGAGTTTTAGATGAAGGAAAAGCATTGCACTGGTTCTTGTCGCTTATGTGAAACGGCTACTTTTATGTTTCGTCGAAAACACTAATGAAGTTGCTTCTGATGTAAACAACAACAACAGATTTTGTTTTTTGACTGATGTACACAGTAAAAATGTTGTACCTGATGTAAAAAAAAAAAAAGAAAACAACGGTGGTGAACCATTAACGATGTTGCTTCTGATGTAAAGATTGATGATGCGTTTTCGTTGCCTCGTTCACTTCTTGACGGATTGTCTGTCTGACGGGAAAAACTGTCTGTCCGAGGAATAAATGAATGCAACAGCGAACGGACGGACGGACAAACAAAAGGAAAGACAAACACCCCTGCTGATACGAGCTGAGCAACGTCATGCTGAGATGTTGTACTGTTGGAAAAAATACATTACCAGAGCTATTCTCTACCCTTAAAGTAACATTTAACATTGTAGAAAGATGATTATAACGGGAGGTTATGAACATTAAAAAAAAAAAAAAACATGAAGTTACAGCCATACATTGATTTCTGGGTCAGAGAGATTGAAATGGACTTCTCCTGCTCAGCATGTGTATTGTTATTGTGTCTATCTGTCCCTCTGTGTCTCTTCCCTCTTTCTCTGTCTCTCTGCTGCCAAAGCAACCGAAACCGGCAGCAATCCTTTTCGTTCCGTCTTTTTCTCCCCTCCGTCTCCCTATGCCATGTTTTTCATATTTGGGAATGTCAATGTGCTAACTTGTTGACACTGTGCATGAATGATAACATGTCTGTATATAGTATTAGAGAATCGTATCCCATTCCCCTGGTGTTGACAACAAAATGGTTCGAATGTTGTACAGATTCTGGTTTTCTGTTCATCTTTGATTCTGTTCGATTACATTTTGTCTTTTTTTCAAATGTGTGTAGATCTTAAAACAATGTTTTTTAATTTAAACAAAGAAGTAACTTGCACATTAATGTTTGATTAACTAATTAAGGGTGTTTTTTTGGTAAAAAGGCAATATCTGCTGTTATTGAATGAGAGAGGAGATCTTAAAGGAGTTATGTATCTTAAATAAATAATCTATAAGAGAGTTGCATGGGTTATTTGTACAGAAAAAAGACACTGCTTGCTACTTCTACCATAACTGTATTCTCTAACAGAGGGTGAGGGATACTGTGTGTACATCTAAAGGTTATTTTGTCATTAAAGAAATAATAATAATAATAATAATAATAATAGTGTGTATATACTGTACAGTGTTATAAGTGAGGTGGACTATATGGCCACCACGCTAAGCGTAGAGAGTTAAATCTACATATTTATTTAATGGAAACAAAAACACTCACTTCACTCAAGAATGACATATATTGCCTTTTTTGAAGAAGTTTGCTTAAAGTGTCTCTATCACTCTTTCTTCTATATGTCTTTTTCCCCCATTCCATCTTTGTCTTTTATTTTTATATTGGAGGGGCGGTTTATATTTCTCTGGCTTTTTCATTTCTTCACGGTTTATTCGGACTCAGCCATTGTCACTTTTTCCATTTGTCTGGCTGTTTGATCCCTCTGACTCAACATATCTCATCTGTCTTTTTACATGTATATCCATCTATAGTTCAAAAGAATATGTCTCCATCTGTTTGATTCTCTCAAAGGATCATTTGTCTTGACTTGAGACACCATCTGTCTGATTCAGAACCGTCTGCCATTTTAAATCTGTTTCCTTAATCCTGCACGTCTTTCTCCACCTCCACATCCTTTTCTTCATTTCTCTGTCCTTCTTCTCTTCTCTCGTGCGTAGTTGGGATACTAAACGTTTGTTAATTTGATTTGGTTTAAAAATGAAACAGTTATATTGTTGATCATAATGAAGATTTTTATTTTTTATTTCAATGTTTTGATTTCTTTTTCTCTCATGATTTGCCGCTGTCCTCTGTGTGCGCGTGTGTGTTGATTTAGTTTATTTCTATTAATTTTTGTTGAACACCAACTGATCAGAAGAAAGTTGTTGTATGTGTGTTGCCACTAACTGTGACTGCTCTTCATGGTACTTCTGATAAAACCAATAAAATAAAGTTTGGGATACCCTGTTTCAGAGACCCTGCGACTCCACTGCCTTTCTAGTTCGTGTGTGTGTGCGTGTGCGTGTGCGTGTGTCTTACATTCAATCTGTGATGAACAGCGTTAATATGAAAGCTTAATTATTATGCAAATTTCCATTGGAGTTTATATTTTCCTTTAGTGGAAGTAAATGGGCAAGCAGCTCTTTTGTTAGCGTGTCTCGCTCTCTCCCTATATCTCACGCTCAACCTCCCCTAGAAACAAACATCCATTTTATTTCACAGACTGTTGACGCTCAGAATGTCTGAATGTCTGAACATCTCATGAGCTGTCATCTCCCTTGTTCTGTCATCGTGTCAGAGACGGCGCGACGGCCGCATCATCACTAATTAACTGTCCGTGTTTTCATGTGTCATATGAAAAAATAATGAATTGTCTGCTGCTGCTGTTTCCTTGGTGTTCACCAATCTTTCTTCACGGGTGAAAATTCAGACGAGATCAATTATTCACTTGTATTCAAAGAAAATCTCATTTTAACCCACCAAAAGAAAATCACATTGAAGGTATTTTAATGTTTGGCTAATGCGCTAATTAAATCTTTCTTCTATATCGTCGAAGCAGATTTAAATAATTGAGTACAATGAGGTTTTTGTTTCGTAACAAATGCACAGTCTTAGTTTATAAGCAGCACCTGTTGGTTTTTATCACATATATGCGGTATTAAAGATGGAAGGATTTGTTTATCCTGACAATTTGACTCTTAATATTTCCCTATTAATTACCATTGCACACAAAGGCAAAAGCATAAAGTGAATGGTATATAAAGACCTTTGTGTTTTTATGTGTGTGTGTGTGTAGTTATGGAGGGAACACCGAAACAAGGCAGATGGTTCAAAATGAGGCTAAGAAATCTGTATGACTGACATGTCATTATAATTTTAATATTGAAAACAAAACAATAAACGATAGTTACTTTTTGAATAGACAGATTTATATATTAGACCTGTGCCCTATACCAACAAATAAAGAGGCTTGAATCCAGTACTTATTTCTTAGTGATAAATGTTAGTCCAGTATTCACTAGTTGCAAATGAACTATCAAACTTGCAACTCAGATTTTGGATTTGCAAGTTTGATAGTGTGCAGGAGTTTATTTTAATATTTTTGATCTACTCGTTCCTTCCCTTCCCTTCCCTCGACGTGACTCTTGAAGTAGAATGTTCTTCTGGTCTGAGTCCAGTACTCACTCAGATATTATCCCTTTGGTCCACCAACTCATTCCAAAAATGTGGTTCTGCATGGCTTGCTAAATATTTAACAGTCTTCACTAGTCACTCTTTTGCTTTGACTCTCTAAAATTGCACTAGACAAGAAGTGTGCAGTCAGCTTATCGTAGTTTCTGTGCAGGGAGCACTTGTACAGAGTGGCTTACAGGAGGAATAGTCCAGGCAGGGCACACAAGTCACGCTTGCATTAGCTGATTGTCATCCAATTCGAGTGTAATTAAAATGTGACACTTGTCCCTGTTACTATGCTGATGCCATTTGCTGAAGCAGCTCCCCGCCTCCATCTCAGCCTCGTCCATATGTGCTATATTTGCTTGTAATGTTGGCTGAGATTTATGTGTATGAAGGGGGGATTAGTTATCCAGCAGCATTGCAGATTGCTGCCCGGAATCTAAAATCTAATCACGTTACCATTTGTCAATTCCTTGACCGTAAATGTCTAAATTGGCAAATGGAGATAGGAGCACATTGCCTGTAGAATCTAAAGAAACATCGTTATACTCCACACTAAGCTGACCAACTGGACGGTGTAGGCGGAAAAAAAATGATGATTATACAATCCATCAATTTACTATACTTTCTCCTACAAAAATAACCTTCCCACTTAACAAAAATGCATTTTAAATTGCGTCTTCTTCCTGATTACAGTTTGAAAATGTGTAAAATTGAGACAAAACCAAACAAAAACGCAAAAGAAATTGGTTTAGGCAAAACATCTACTTGGTTAGGGTTAGTACATTACCATGGTCTAGATTTAAATATATACGTTTGTTAGCGTTATTTAAGATACGGACGGCAATTTAAATAGGTAAACATTGAAATGTGGCTTCACACGGGACATACAACCGGACTCCCAGTGAAGTCCTTTGTTGGTTTGATCCCACCATCAACCCTTGTGCTACGTCAAAACCTCAAATTCAGGAAAAAATCTGAAAATATGTGTCCTTCAAAATGAAATAGAGAATGTATTATGTGTTATTTTTAGGAGGACAGGCTGAAATAAGAGCACACTTCTAGTCGACATTCCTGGTGAAGTGGAGGGTCAAAGTTGAGTTGTGAAGCTCCAAAATAACAACCTGCAGAACTGTTAGACAAACCTTAAATGGTGTGAATAAAAAGGTCCCATCTGGTCCGTCGGAAGCCTTTATAACATCTGACTGATGGATGACTTGTATTCTATTTTCCTCCTTTTCCCATGCTGCCACTGTGATGGATCGTGCTCATTCTCTGTGAGCGGTGATGGATTCTTCCCATTAAAAGTCAATCCGCTTCCTGTTTTTTATTGTATAATAAACAAGTTTGTCTTGTATATGTGCATTTAAACTGCACAATAATTTGGCGAGACTTATTTGATATCATGCTTGCAGAACGTGTTTCTAAGAGTGAGTCAGTATAAGAGTCTATTCGCTGCGATGTGTTTTGTGCCGTTGTTTCTTGTGTACAGGTGTTAGCCTTGTCTCCTTTCATTACCTGCCTGCTGTTGTGTATAAAATCTCATTATGTTGTCACATTTGATTTCTAGACAGGTGCTAGTCTCAATGGCCTCTGCTTCCGGGTAAGCATGCTGGGTAATCAGAGTGAATTTAAGTCAGTATGTGGGTGCATGCTGCTCCTGAGCACTGAATAATGCCTGAACTGTCAGAAGGTCTGCGCTGGCTGTCAGACTATGCACAGCCACTTAGAGAGACAGCAGGACCAGCCGTGGGTTTTTACTGCTCTGCTCCCTCCTTTGTTTCATATGTGTCAGTCAGTGCTCAAACACAGCCTATATATTAAAGGTCACCTATTATGCAAAATCCACTTTTTCATGTCTTTTATACAGAAACATGTGTCCCCTAAAGAGATTCTGAAAGTTTCAGGAAAAAAGATTCGCTCACTTTTTGTCCTGATCCATTTATATAAAAACCTGTCAGAAAATGAACTGATCAGATTTTGGCTGGTGTAACCATTAGACAATCACCAATCAAGGTAACCCCCCCCCCCCCTTATCACCTGAATCTCCTCCTAGAGCACCATTGTGTTCTTTTTAACCAAATATCTCTCAGAGGGGCGTGGGGAGGGGCTCCTTATTTTCATCTAAAGTAACAGACAGAGAATCAGCACTTTGGAAACAGGGCTGAAACAGAGGGGATTATGGGTAATGCTGCAATGATCTGTTTGGTGTTTCAGACAAACACTTCAGAGACATGTTTTGTATATATCTGAGACCTATAATATATTGATGAAAACAGTATAATAGGAGACCTTTAAAAGAAAGTTTGGATGGTCATTGTAATATATTCTGGTACCCATATCTACATGTATATAAACTGGACAATATAAATTCTTCCCAAACAATAATATAATTTAAGTGGTATTACATGTTTCTGTTTTAGATAGTAGTGAGAAAACTGATCTGTTTCTGCATTTTGCATCTGGGATTTGCAAAGCATTTTTAAAACTCTTTTAGTATTTTACAAAATAAATCGCACTTATAGTAAAATATTTTAAATTCCCCATACAATTCTGAAATCTCCTACGACATATTTGCTTCTTTTTTAATATGAAATTGTAACCACATGCATTCAACTCTAGTACACTGCACAAAAGGCATGTGCAAAGATATACATACTTTTGTCAGATGTATAAGTCTCTAGGACCAGTTCTGTTCAATACATCTCAATCATTGTGGAGCTGGGGGCAAAATAACAAGCCTAACTCCAACAGTCCAACATTAGTGGTCAAAGAAATGCCTTTAAACATCAGTTTGCATATCAATAAATGTGCTCTTTTCACCACCCGTTAGACCTGTCCCTGATAATAACAGAATACAGAAACGCAACTATACAAATGGCAATGCATCAGTGAGGTTCTCCAAGAGCCCCAGAACAGCAGTGGTCCGGCAGTCCGGCAGTGGCTCAGTCAGTAGGGGCTTGGACTGGGAGCTGTAGGGTCGCTGGTTCAAGTCCCCGACCAGACCTAAATATGGAGTGTGGACTTCTACTTGGAGAGGTCCCAGTTCACCTCCTGCCCTGCCGTGGTGCCCTTGAGCAAGGCACCGGACACCCCCCTTCCCCCCTCACTCCCATTGCTCCCCGGGCGCTGTACAATAGCTGCCCACTGCTCCTAGTACTAGACTCCTGGTACTAGGATGGGTTAAAAGCAGAGGCCAAATTTCACTGTGTGTGCTGTGTGCTCTGCATGTGTGACCATTAAAGAGGGTTTCATCCCTCCCTATTAAATAAATTAAATTAATTAAAATTAAAATTAAATTAAACAGCTGCCATCAAACACAGTTGTTATGCACAGCTGCACACAAGCTATTTCTTTCTCTCTTTCTCCATTTGTGTGTTTGGTTCCTTCCTCCTGTCTTTGTGAATGCTGGGCTTGAGCCTATAGCCTCTGGTATGAGTTCTTCTTTCAAGGTCTCCATATTGGAAAGGTCATTAGCTTTAGGTTTGTTTGGCGGCTGCTGGACGTCTTCTTCATTTTTCGTAATTGCTTGTAAGCTAATCATTATCCCAATAATGACATCCCAACTGTCCATATTTTAGTTTGACCTATTCTGTACACATATCATTGCATGTCTGTCCACACTGAAAGAGGGATTATTTCTCTATTGCTTCTACTTTTACCCTCTTAAATGTACAATTAGAGTTACATTAGGACAGTGATACTGTTTGATTGTGAAGCACTTTGAGGCAAATGTGCGATTTGACACACAGTTGACTCGATTTGTCTTTGGGTGATTAAAAGTCCCTGTGTGGGTGTGCAGAGCCTTTTAAAGAATA